GGGTCGTGCTGGACGTTCTCGGCGACCGGCGCCGCGGAAATGGGCAACTGCATTGCCGGTGGCCAGCTCTACAACCTCGCTGAGCAGCAGCTCGTCGACTGCGACCACGTCGACAACCAGCAGGGTTGTGATGGCGGCTTTGAAGACCGGGCGCTTGATTGGATCGTTGCCCAGGGCGGTCTCTGCCTCGAGTCTGCCTACCCGTACACGTCGGGCGCCACCAAGAAGGCCGGTACGTGCAAGACGTCGTGCACCAAGCAGCCGCTGCCGTACATCGGCAACTCGGTGAGCATCCAGGGCGAGTCGGCGCTGACGACGGCCTTGGTGACGCAACCCGTCACGGTCGCTGTCTACGCGGGCAACGACGCGTGGCAGTACTACCAGGGCGGTGTCGTCTCGTCGTGCCCGTCGGGCCAGTCGGACCACGCCGTCATCGCCGTTGGCTACGGCAGCAACTACTACAAGATCCGCAACTCGTGGGGCGCGTCGTGGGGCGAGGCTGGCTACATTCGTCTCCAGCGCAACGTCGGTGGCGACGGCACGTGCAACGTGGCGGGTCAGCCGGCGTACCCCAAGCTCAAGGCGGGTCCGGCCCCGACGTCTGCGCCGACGAAGGCGCCGACGAAGGCTCCCACCAAGGCACCGACGCCCGCTCCTACGGACGCGCCATCGGGTTCGGACTCGGGCTCCGGCTCGTGGTGGTGGTAAATCTCTCGTTGCGCAAACCCACCTCGCGGACCCCAATGCCAATGCGACCTCGTCGTATAGCGACCTTTAATGTTCCAGTAACGTTATGCTGTTTCAAACGTTGCATCGTTGGAAGGCATGTCATTGACTATTGAGTTGATGCGTCTCTTCGACAGTTTACACTGACCTTGCACCAAGGGTCCCTTGCTTGACCAGAGCTTTGTGTATCTTAATCCGGATCCGGATAGACATCGACACCAAGCTCGACACACCTGCGATGGTGGCGCAACAAGGAGCGCTCCAGGCGACCCATCGCACCCCTTAAATGGACAAGTCGTGCATGCAACCGATCTCTATGTGCTTGGGCGCGAGATGGTCCTCTCCCGCCAATCGCACCATTCAGAAGCGCTCCGGCTGGCACTCTAAAAGCACCGGATTGTGACCTATCTGGTGCTTGTAGCCAGCTGGAGCTGGTATATGAGCACGCCGTCTCGTACCGGGACGACACCCAACGTCTCCCCAGTGACGGCTACCCATGCTCCTCACTTTTCATTGCCTCCTCCATCAGCAACATGGCTCACCGCGCTAAAGCCACGACGTTCGCCCAGGCCTGGCTCCGTGACACGGCTGCGTGGCCCGTCATCGGCGTCATCGTCGGCGCGTGCGCGCTTGCTGGCGGTGCATCGGTGCGCTACTTGACGAGCTGCCCGCACGTGCACTGGAGCAAGGAGAACCGCGGCAGCCCGATCCGCGACAACGTCAACGAGTCGAGCTGGAACTCGCACCGCAACCCGATCCGGCTCATGAGCGACAACCGCATCAACACGTTCCAGGAAAAGTCGCGCCAATAGATGTCTAGATAGTACCTAAGACGTCGAAACAATAAAGACGTCGATTACATTTCTCATTGCATAGTTTTCATCATTAACAAGGACACTGGAGGATAAACTATGGCGATGACATATTTGTGTCTAACTGGGTCGTCTATCACGTTGCACAAGTCTGTCGCTACGCATGTAGTGGCGACTGGTTCTTGTCCCGAAGCAATCCATCCAAGCGATCCATCCAGAAGAAATCGCGTTGTGACACTTTCGGGATATTGTCGTATTTTTTCGAGTTTTGAGATCTTGAACCGGCGCGCTGCATCATGGCTGCGCTCGCGGTCGGAGCGCGGGTCGTTCGCATCCTCGACGACTTGCGTTTCCCATGCAAGGTCCTCGATATCAGCTACGCCAATGACGCGACGCCACTTCTATGGACCATCCAGTACGTAGACGACGGCAACATCGAGACCATCACCGACATGGACGAGCTCGAGTTTGACGTGGCGCCAGTGGCCTCCGACAACCGTTCGCTTGTTGAGGTCGTGTATTCAGGATCTCATATGCGGAATCGTGCTATTTTTTGTCACAAAGAGCTAGAATAATGTTTCCATTGTGTCTCCGCGAAAGCAGGAAACGGTCGAAACCAAGCGCGATGCCATCCGCGATTGGTATCGTGGCGCTGGCCCACGCGGCGACGTACTACGGCGAGCTGGACGCAGGTAATAGTCTTACCAATGCGGCAGCACAGGACTTGGGGTATGATAGATGGCCGTCCGCACGGCACCGGCTGCGTGTACTTTTCGGCTGGCGGCTACTACGCCGGGAGTTTTGTCGGTGGGCGTAAACACGGCCCCGGCGTCTGTGGCTTTCCCGATGGCTCGCGTTACGAAGGCGACTTTGTCGACGACGAGCGCGACGGCTACGGTGTGCACTCGGTGCCGATTGGTGATCGCTACCGGGGGCAGTGGCGGGCGTCGGCGCAGGACGGCGTCGGCGAAGTCCTCGAGCGGTCGGGGCGGTTGCGCCGCGGTATCTTCCAGAGCAATGCCTTCGAGGCGCCGCTCGAGCACTCGGATGACGCTGTCGGACACTTGGCAAAGGCGACGGAAGCGCAGCAGAACGCGTTCATTGCCGAGCGCAGTGCCCGCGCCTCCGAGGAGACTGCTCAATTTCAAGCCTCCATGACCATCGGTGCCACCTCGACCTGCGCTATGACTACACGTATCTCACAACACATGTAGATGGCTGGTACATCGAAACGGACGCCGACTTGGATGCATACGAAGCCGAGACCAGTGCACGACAGGAGGTGGCGAGCGCAGAGTGGTTGCGCGATTTTCGGTCACTCGAGGCCGAGACGCAGGAAGGCAAGACCGAAGAGGCGACGCTGGGGGAGACGCAAAAGCAGCTCTACTTGACGATCCAAGCCCGCCGCAAGGAGCTCGCGCGCCTGAGCATGTTTTGGGACGTTGTCCAAGACAAAGAAAGACACTTGGGTGAGGCAAAGCGCGTCTTGGACGCGGTGGAACGCGAGATAGCGGCCGAAATCGCGTGGGCCAACGCCAACAAGGTCCCACCTTCGACTCGCATCCCCTCGGCACGGCAACCGACGAGCCGTGTACCGAGTAGTCATGCACCCAACCTCGAACCAAATGTAGTGGTGACGGCAACGCACTCGCCTCAACGTTCGCTGGGCAGTCTGCCACAAGTAGGGAGCCCCGGATCAACGATGGATGCATAGAATAACTTGAATCGACAATTTTCCATATTCGGCGGTTGAAAAGTCGAAGGTTCGAGCCACCGATGTCGGCGCCGGTCATAACCATTGCTGCGTTGTGGACCGTGGGCGTCATGACCAAGTCGCACCGGTCACCGCTTCGGGCGGGTGCCCGAAGCATTTACGCCGGGCTCTTGGACATCCTCTTTGTCGCGGCGCATGTCCTCGTTGGCTACGGCACGTACGCGGGTTACGACTGGATCACCACCGAGCTCTACCCTCTCGGGGCGACGCTGCTTACTACCCCTGTGCTGCCGCCACCGTCACTGTGCCGCACACTCTTCTCGACCCCATCGCTCGCTGACGTTCATGTTCTGGATGCCCCCCGTGACGGCATCTTTGTCATGCGCAACGGCGCCAACGTCGGTCGCGCAATGACGTGGGTTAGCGTCGGCGCCCCCGGGGACGACTGCGTCGCGCCCTTTGCCCGCGCCGCCGCCCACGTCCTCGGCGTCTCCGGACCTGATGTCTTTGCACCGATCACGCTCCACGACGACGCGGGCCACGAAATTGCACCCCACTTTGCCAGCATCGTGGCGACCAAGCGTGTGCATCTGCTGCTGCACGGTGAGGTGTGGGTCTGGCCTGGTATCGCGGTTGGACACGAGTGGACTGCCGATGGCTACGCCATGCGCACACTCTCGCTCTCGCCCAAGGTACCTCTTTCAAAACATACATGTCGAGCAGACAATGTGTCTGCAATACTAGGTCATCCTCGTGCGCGATTTTCTCGAGGATTCGGAATGCAGTGCGCTTGTCAAGGGTGGACAAGACCTTCTCGGGCCGTCCCACACGGTCGACAAGGCCGCCAACCACCGCCTCGCACTGCGTACGAGCTCGACTGCATTCATTGGGTACATTGCATCGTGACGAACGCGGTGTCATCCTCTTGGGAATAGCCACGTCGCCGCGGCAAAGACCATCAAGGCGCGCGCGACAAAGCTCGCACGGTTGCCGAGCGTGAGCTATACCGAGGACCTCCAGCTTGTGCGGTACGGGCCAGGGCAGTGGTACAAGAAGCACACGGATTACTTTCAACACCTCGACGTCTCATTGCATGCACGCGCGGGGACGTCGCTGGCACACTGGGTGCGCTGGGTCCAGGCGCAGATCGGTCGCACGTCTTCGCTGACGACAACGCACCCGCTATACCCGCGACTATCGACTGCGTTCGAGCGGTCCTTTGCGCTGCTCTTGCTGCAAACGAATGCCATTCAAGACGAAGCAGTCGCTTCGTGGCTACGACAACATCTGGAGCACGAGTACGTGTTGTCGTCGCTGCTGGCCGCGTGGAGTCCGACAAATCCGCTCCTCTTTGCCCAGTGGCGTCGCGTCTGGGAAGACGCCGTTGGCATTCCCACGCTGCAGTGGCGGTAGCGTCTCCTATCGACAATCACCCACGTCTGTGATGCCCAATGTAGCGACCCGCTGCAGCTCAAATACGTCGAGCCGAACCGACACGCGACGCTCTTCCTCTACTTGAACGACGTGGTCCATGGCGGGGAGACGGTGTTTCCGTATGGAAATGCAACGTCGACGCCTCCGACGACGACGACGTCGGGCATGCCGGAGTGCGCACGCGGCCTGTCTGTCAAGCCGACGAAGCGCACTGGCGTCCTCTTCTACAACAAGGCACCAACAGGCGAGAACGACCCGCGCAGCATGCACGGCGGGTGCCCGCCTCACGACGGCGCGACCAAGTGGGGAAGGTACACCATACAATGTGCGACTTTATCTCACGTTACCTCGTAGCAACGTCTTTATGTGGAACGTCGACGCTGCTTATGGCAACCAAAAATGGCGCTTTTGGTAAACTGCACAATGTTGCACTTGATCAAATACAAATATCAACTTATCAAGAGACACTTCGAGTGAATGATTTTGCAGGCAAACTGCAGCAATGGCGTGTCATCGCATCGAAGACAGGCTCTATTCCAACGAAAAAAGGTGGAACTTGGCAGGACAAGGACATCGACATGGACGCCCGACTCGGTCTCGGTTTGGTGGACCTCCTCCCGCGCACTACGTGCAGGTTCAAGCGCTGTAGGTGGTGTCGGTGTCTTCAGTTGCCGTTGGTGTTGACTTTGAAAACCAAGTGGTGGGTTCGTGGCTTCTGGGCATAACCCATACTAGTAACCCAATGTGAAATTCTTGACAACTTCAGCGTGAGAGCTCAGCACGCGCGGTTCGGTATCCGGAATGTCCGGATACGAGACCGCAAATTCCAATCGCAGCCAGGCATGCGGACGCTGACGTGCCCGTGCAAGGCCCGCAAGTGCGACGAGTGTAAGGGCTGCGTCAAGTGCCAGTGTCACTGCCATGGACCGCCACCGCGCCTGCCGCCCGAGATGCGGCCCCAGAAGGTCAAGAAGCCGCCCAAGGTCCGGACGCCACGCGCCAATAACGGCGACGAGCCGACGCCCAAGCGACGCCAGTTGACCATGGACGAGCTCATGCAGCCGCGGCGACGGGCATCGAGCGGCGACAAGAAAGCTGCCGAAGAGACCCAGGACACGCCTGAGGATGCTGCGGACGATATCGAGGACGTGCAGCCGCGCCGATCGTCCCGGTCGCAGGGCGTCGCGGACCAAGGAGACGAGCCAGACACACTCGCCGTCGCAACTGACGAGACTCTGACCGCGGATGCTGCGGATGCAAGTGTGGTCGACAATGGCGAGAGCACTGCCGCCGAGCCGGTGCCTGAAGAGCCAGTGGTCATGCCCGAACCATTGAGCCTCGAAGACCAGCTGCAAGCACTCATGGATCGCAGAGAAACCGAGGCGAGTGAGCTCGCGGCGCTCGAGCGGCAGATCTTTGAGCTCGAAGGCGCGTATCTTCGGCGCAACCAGCACGCCGGCAACATTGCCAAGGGCTGGGCGCCGGCGAAACTCTTCATTGCAGAAGTCGTGAAGGACCAGCTCATGGAGCTCGAGCTCTCGGGCGAGAACCCGCCCGACATGACGCAAGCCGAAGAAGATGCCGTGAGTCAGCAGCGTATCTTTTCGTTCTCGTCCACGTCGTCGCCCGCCGAGCTTTTGGCGCAGCAGTGGGTCGAGCACAAGTCGTCGGACGAGTTGTTGGCCTTGCGCCTCGCCTCGGCACCGCCCAGCCGCGCGCTACGGAAGCGAGACCTCGCAGTGGACACGAATGAGACCGAACGGTCGCCGCGCTCTCTCGACGAAGGCACCTCGTCGTCGGCCAAACCCCGGTCCAAGTCGAAGCGAAAGAAATAGCTGTATTATCAAATCAATCCAAACCTATCCAGTGTCAACTATCCAACAGGTCGGATTCTCGCAAGCAGCGTCCCACCTCCACCGTTTTGAGCGGCACCAGTTCTGGTGCATCGAGGAGCGGGCTGTCCACAACAATTACGATCACAATAGGCTGCCATTTCCCATCTTTACAAGCAGAGACTTATACAGGACTTATACAGGTCTTACCATCGCTTGGCGAATCAGCGGTCGGTTCACATCTAGGTAGGCCTCGGGCTATCGACATCCAAAATGGCACGAGCAAAGAAGGAGGTATATATATATTTAAAGGTATATCGTTATTACGTCGGATAGTTTAGCAAAAGGAGCTGTGATTAGCACGAGTAAAACATAACACCTTCAAGGATCGCAATGATCGTCGTCAGCAGCTTGAGCGTGCCAAAGGTCGATAGGCCAAAGAACGAGTTAAAGTACGCAATCCACGAAAAGATCGACCACACCGTCGACGGAATGAACGCCCAGATCGACGCGACAAGCCAAATGTGCAAGAGCAAGTCGGGCAAGTCCGAGTGGCTCGAGAGGTCTGCTGGCACGGGCGCGGCGCCGGCTTCGAGGTAGATACGGCGCAGCGCGAGGCGGTTGGCGTTGCGCGACTTGGCTGGGTCGACATGGTACTGGGGCAAATACCGGACGAGGCACTTGCCGGGCAGCGTAAAGATACGGGCCGGCGGCCAGAGCTCGTACGCGCCAATGACAATCGCCGGCGTGATCGGCGCGCCGGCGTCCGACTGGAGGTAGAACGGACCCTTCTTGAAGTCTTGGAGAAGACCCGACTTGGAGCGCGTGCCTTCGGGCGAGATGGCGACCGACCGGCCATAGTCGACGACGGCGCGCGCGAGATGCTTCAAGCTCGTCTTGGCGCGCTCACTAGAACGCAGTGAGTACCGCAGAAAGACAAAGAGATACTATGGAATACATGTTGGAGCGGTCGATGGGAATGTTGCCAAAGCCCCAGCGGAAGACCCAGCCGACGATCGGGATCAAAAAGAGGCTCTTCTTCCCGATAAACTATACCACAAAGCTCATGAGATGCACAATACGAAACAATGGATGATCGCACCTTGAGCACGACCGGCGACGAGCCCTGGATCATAAGACCGTCCAAGTTGGAGCCGTGCCTAATCGCATCCAACATGAGCACCCAAGACGATCATGCAAGAGAAGACCGTACGAGAACATCATGACCGTGGACCCGCCGTTAAGCGCGCGCACGTTGTCCGTGCCTTCCGTGACGATGTGGATGCCGCCGACGGCGCAGAGCGCCCAGCCAAACCACCACTGGATGAAGTCCACGGGCAGGTAGTTGTTCTTGACGCCCAGCTTGCGCAGCGTAATGTGGGTCCAGCGGAGCGGGATCAAAAAGAAGAAGATCGCAAAGCCGCCAAAGAAGAGCATCGCAAACGACGCCAGGCGCACGCCCATGTACACCTTCTCAAACGTGCTCTTGTCCTCGGGCTGGATCTCGAGCGTCAACTGCTTCCGCAGCGCATGGAAGCGCGCTACGACCGCGAGCATGGCCTCGTCCTTGCTCTGCACAATGTCGTCGCTCATGGCCTTGATGGGCGAGTCGGCGGCGGCGGTCTCGATCTCATGCAGAAGCGCTTCCTCCACGTCGAGATGGATGTACTCGGATTCGGCGTGGAGCGCTCGGCGCGTCTGGTTGCGCTGCGCCAGCGTCGTCGAGGCTGCGATGGCCTCCTGGTCGGCGAGGAAGGCGGCGACCTTGGCTTCGACGGCCGCCAGCCGCGCGTCCACGTTGAGTTCTCGGAGGAGCGTCGCTTCCATCGGAAGAAGAATCTCGGGAAATGACGGAAACGAATTGCCTTGCCGGCAGCCATATACCTTGGTCTTTGTATGCACCGTGTTTGGACGCGTCAACAGGCGCATCGATTTCATTGGTCAAGTAGCTTCAACTTTTGGCCAATCACACATGGGATGACGACGTTGGCGTCGAGTCAACAGCCGCCTTGGCGCCCGCACCGACGGCCGAGTCTCGGGCGGTGGGCCGGCGAAATGAGGTCTGAGGCCTCGAAGAGCCTCTTATACACAGCTCGAGCCGTCAACAGCGCCGGTATCGTGGCCGATTGGCGGGCGTTGGATGGTCGACGACCTCATCTTGTCGACTCGACAGCCGTGACAAGCACGCGGGTACCGACGGTGTCTCTGCGCCCATGCTGATGCGAACTGGCCGTGCACGAAGCATGCTACGCAGTCGCGTTCACGACGTAACTCATGACGTCAGCAGCGCAAGCAATGCGACGATGGCGGCGCCGGCCGCCGAAGCAGCGCTTCAACCGCACTTCAACGTTGTGCTCGGATCACGGTGCCTTGGATGATAGCAAAAGCCAGTCAGGTACATGGGCCGCTTGACCCTTGTCAGGTACAGGTCATGACGGCGAGCTCGTCAAAGTGTCCTACCGCAACGTGGAGTAGAGTGCGCCCAGAGCTGCGTTCATTTGCCCATGACACTTCGCTCGGAGGCGTCTGCGAGAAGCGCACTGAGAATCACGCAGCTGATGACGAAAACAAGAGGAAGCAGGGCTCGTGACAAGTGTCTTTGCTTCGTGCACAAAATGACGTGGCCACACAGTACAGTTTGTGTCTCGCGATCTTGTCTTGGGACCAGTTGTACTGGCACAAAGACACCAAGGGATTCGACAAGGCACTGATGCGACGCTGCCGACGAGGACGAGCGCCGCCTGTAGACGTCTGCATAAGCAGTACCCAAACGGACTACATCACAGCGTCATGTTGAAGACCCTGTTGCTGTCGTCGCAGAGTCCTACACTGCGTTAACGACGTGTCATTGTGTTTTGCCAACATGCACTGTAATAGATCTTAGTTGGTTCGACTACCGATGACGATGCTACATCGAATGCATGTCCACGTCAAAGAACACAACGGCGATGAGCCACGCGGCGACGCTGCAGAGGCCACCGAGGAAGATGGGTAGCGTATACCCCCACGCTGTGTTGACAGCCACCGACGCGCACGCAAAGTTGAGCAGTTGCCCAAAGCACAAGGCCGAGTTGAGGGCGCCGGCAAATCGCCCGGCGTCGGCGTCCGGTCCGAGCACGTGCACCACGAGTGGCATCGCAAGCGCCATGATGGTACACTGTGACGCTGACGAGCCCGACGATCGCCAAGTCGACGGCTGTCTCTTTGCAAAACGCCAGCAAGAGCAGCAGCACCTGCGGCACGCAGCCATAGGCCACGAGGCGCTTGACGCCAAACCGGCGCACGAGACTAGGCAAGAAGAGCAAGTAGGCGAGTCCTACGATGTAGAGGGCGTCGGCGCTGCCAGCCAGCTGCACACCGCGGTTGTAGGCATCTTGCGCAAGAGAGCAGGTGCTGTCGCACGTATCGGCGCCGGCCGCGTTGCCGCCATTGACGACAAGCCCAAAAAACTGGCCTTTCGACGAGTTGTAGGCCGTGTAGCCGTACTGTGTCAAGAACGCAATCGCAAAGTAGATGCGTAGCGGCGGCGGGAGGTCGCGCACGCCCGTGTAGACAGCTCCCAGCACAGCGGTGAGCACCGACGGCGTTGACACCGACGTCGATGACGTTGGCAGCCGCTGCTCGTGCACGCAGAGGCACACACACGCAGACGAGACAAACATGATGCCGATGAGGACGCCCAAGAAGGACTGGAGGCTGTTGTACGCAGCACCAAAGAGATACGTGTACGCTGCCACGATCAAGTAGCCGACGGCGGTGATAAGGCCACCGACGACCTGCGCCGTAACTTGTCGGTCGCCGGCAAAGTCGGCCAAGATTAAATTGAGCGGCACCTGGGCGACGTTGAGCGTGATGTCGATCCAGACATAGCAGAGCACTGCGAGAAAACTGGTCCACGGACGGTCGATGTCTGTGTCGCCGAGCGCTCGCCCGATCGGCATGATGTACATGAGCAGTACCCAGCAGAGGATGCTTGCGCCGGCACCAAGGGCGAGGAATGGACGCCGCCGCCCAAAGCGGCTCGTGCAGGTATCGCTCCAGACACCGACAGTCGGGCCCAAGAGCACGCCCGAGATTGGCCCGGCCATTTGCACGAGCTGTACCGATGTTGAGCTCAAGAGAATCTGGAGCAACGGGCCGTAAACGGCGGTTTGGGCCGACCACGCCATCGCGATGGCCATGCGCGGCAGCGACAGCAGCGTCATAAAGCGAAGGGAACACCCCGCTTGGTTCAACTCTGAGGTTTCGTCGTACGTCGAGGCATGCGGGGACGTGGGTTCGAAGCGCGTACCAGCAGCGTCGGCATCGACGCTCTTGGGCGTAGCCATCGCCAGCTCTAAGAAGACGAGAAAGTGGGACCTACATCACCTTGGTCGCAGATTCGCGTCCATGCAAGCATCAAGTCAATGCCAGGCGGTGGTTTTCTGAACCGGCAGACGTTCCAGTGCAAGTCGTTGTTGGTTTCGCGTTCTGGTAGCAACTAAGGTTGCAGCACACTGGACTCCATCTTCTACTAACTATCTCCCAGGGATCAAATGTACCAGACGCGGTTTCCACAAGGCAAATTACAAAGCATATCTTTGAATTTGAGACAAATTCTCGGGTACAATTGTACAATTGTATAACTTGCACGTTGCAACCAACATGACTAGCCGACTAAACAACAAACCGTGTAAACGACTAAATGACTAAACAATCAAGAGACTAACTAAAGTCTGAACGACTAAACATCACGGAGTGATCGATTTGATGCCAACGAAGCTTCGACATAAGTACTAGTAGCTCACGTCAGTGTGCACTTGGTGGTGATGACCACGCGTCTTACAACCATGCTTGGACTACAACGCTCCCTTACAGCATTAACCAGTACACGGAGGAAGCATCGACTAACATAAACGACTAGAGGTTCCATCGTTGTTCTCGGAAAGAACACGTCGTAGAATAGAGAAAATGAATTCAAGCTTGAATAATGTATGAAGATGCAATAAAAACGATCGGTTTCACGGCGGCCCCTCGCTGCTCTTGCTGTTTGTATGGATTTGACATTCACTCTTCAAATCCAAAAAAGCAGCGAAGACGACGATGAGCAACCGCAGCACCGCCGCCGCCGAGGCCATCTCGTTCCTGCATGACCTCCACCGCATGTGGGGCGCGGGCTCGATGGACTTTGCACCGGAAGACCCGGCGTACGTGGCCTTCCTGCGCCATGTGGCCATGGTCTGCTTCAGCATTGGCCTCGTCGCGTTCGCCCTCTTGCTGCTCATCGTAGCCCGGCGTATCTTCTTCGCTGCGCCAACGCGCTTCCGCCGACGTGCGCATCATGAGGCTTCGTTCGACGTCATGGCCGTCATCTTGCTGGGTATCACAGCGCTGAGCGCGCTCAGTGGCCTCCTCGCCGAGGCGCAGGTCGACTACAGCGTGCACAAGATCGCGCACAGCATGAAGAACGTGTCGCACACCTTCCATGAGATCCAGGCCGTGACACAAGGCGTCGAGTACTCGGCCAGCGGCGTCCGAGCGACCGTCGACGACATGATTGTGGCGTTCAATAGCTCGTTGCCGCACGACGCCAACGACCTCGCGATCGAGGCCTTACGGTGCATGGCCTTTTATGTATGTTTATGCTCATAGACAATGCATTAGCATGGGCCACGCCGGGCAGGTGCTCTTGGAGCAAGGCCGCGCCCTCCCGAGCAATCTCTCATCCATGGCGTTCAACTGGGAAGCCGAGTACTTTTGGATGAAGTCGTCGACGAACGGGATCATCTTGACCATGGCGCTCTCGTGCTTCCTCGCAATTGCGGCCATCGGATGGTCCATGTCGGGGTCGCTCCGCTTTGCGATCTTTCTCGTGCTCGTGATCATTCCGTCGTCGCATGCGCTCTTTGGCGTCTACTTGGCCAACTCGATCGAGGCCGCCGACTACTGCATCGCGCCAGCGCACAACACGCTCCGACTCTTCCGCAATGACTCTGGCGTTGCGTACTTTGTCGAGTGTCCGCCAAACGCGACGCTGTACGCGCCGTCATGGGCGCAAATGAACGCCAGCCACGACCACGCGCTGGCGCTGGAGGCCACCTTAGCCGACTACGCCAAGTCGCTCCCGACGATGGACCGCGAGAAGCTCCAGAGCATGTACTTGGACCCGATCCACGAGCAGCTGGGGACTCTCTCGACGCTCCGCGCTCGCTTTGCGACCGTGTCGGCATGTGCGTCGACCAAGGCCCTGCACATGGACGTTGTCGACTCGTGGTGCACGTATGGCGTACTCGGTCTCCTCTCGCTCTGGCTCCATCAAGTGGTGCTCTGCGTGCTCCTCTTTATCAGCGCTGTTGCGCTCGTCGCTGTCTACGAAAACGTCCGCGCCAAGGAAGACCGCCTCGAGATGCAGTACCATCTCCTCTCGAGCTATGAAGACGAGAACCACGTCGAACACTTGTACATGACGCCCGAGTAGTTGGCGACCTCGTATCTGCATGTCGTATATTTCTAATTGTTTGCTCACGTCGCTCGTGGTGTTGCCTGCTTGCAATGACCGCAGCGTTTTGAGAGAACCCCCAACGGATCATCCCACCCCGCCGTAAGCGGATATACTAGTGTAGGGCTAACATAATGCGGTCAGAAGCCGATCTATTAGGCCGCTGCAGGTGCACGATCGAGCCTTGAAGCATACCTGCGGAACCTGGGACTCTAGAAGCCCCAGGGGGTAGCCTGCAGATCTCTGGCGAAGCGCACCGGCATGACGCAATATTCCGCGTGGTGGTAGCGCGGAAGAGTTGACGTCGGTCCAAAGTTGGCCCCGATCCACGATACCGGCACTTGATTGGCTGCTACGGTATCGCCAAGAGGCACGGGCAACGCCCAGATATGCCAGGCTTGGGCTGTGTACACCCCAACAATCTTGACGAACGCCCACGCAGCCTTGGATCGAACAATAGTGGTATCTTGATCAATCTATGTAGAGACAAAAGTTCGAGCTCATTTTGCACTTTGCAACCCGAGAGCTCAACCAGTTCTTTGTCTGTCGTACGACTGTCCTCTTCTCGTCCTCTGTAATATGAAGCTCACCCGTGTCGCCGCTGTCGGCCTCCTCTTTATTGCTGCCCGCACGGCCGACGCTCAGTCGTCCGCCATTACGTCTGGTAGCACGTCCAACAACGCCGCGCCTGCCTCCGATACCTCCCCGACGTTTGTTGCGACATCCTCCGTGGAAACAAGCGGCAGCGCGTCCAAGACTGCGATTGAGCCAGAATCATCGGCTGGCTCGGTCAGCGATGCTACGCCTGCCCCGATCGAAGACGTCATCCAGGCCGTGATCGCCGCTGGTGCCACGCCCGAGCAGGTGCCACGCCCGAGCAGGCGACCAT